ATCTATTTGTTTTGGGCTTATCACACAGATTGGGTTTCGAAGTTTGTGCAAAGTAAAGTATGATAATCCGCACAACAGACGCCAACAAAAGATTTTACCATCCCGGACTGTTAATGCCAAATGAGATGATTTGTATGATTACAAGCTTTTTCCACGTGTTCAGTCAGGTGTTCTGCGGTTCCTCTATTGAATTACAGTCAGGCCTCAAGTATATGAATGCAAATGCTTTTAACGTTGCATGCTTGATTTAATAAATCATGAATCTTGAAATATCTCACTTTATAATGTATTCTTAATCATGAGATTGATGCTTTTAAATTACACATGATTATACCCACAGCCCAACAAAGCACAAGTGTTTTGGAGAATGGATGGATGAACACAATAGTAAACCTAAATATGGTCAAATTAAACATTTAACTTTTTTGAAAGTTAGCCTACCAGCACTAACCGGTTAAGAAAAGCTCTTTTTAATAGCTAAAACAAGATATCATAATTACACACTATGTTTTTGCTGGAATTGGAGATTAGGTGGAATCGAGATTGTAGGATTCTGAGAGGGATATGATATTGCCAATACTCTCTTATGGTTAATCATCATGTTTTGGTGAATTATGGCCTAATTAGCATGAATTCTCTCACCCATGAATTCTAATTAGCAAAATCTACTAACACTCCACTGAAATCGCAAATTTCTGTGCAAATCACACTCTGCGAATTCCTTCGAAATTGTCACCAGTTGCGTTTTGTCATGAGATCAGGTTGAATTTTGCGTGTTGTCTAGACATTTCCTTCTACGCTTGAGTTTGTTTCTTGGCCTATTTGTGATATTCTAGAAGAGAACCTCCACATACACACTATTTTCAGTAATCTTTTTCTCTCGTCCTTACAGGCAATGCATTTGTGGTGAGTTTGGCAATAGCAGACCTGGTAGTAGCCATCTACCCCTACCCACTCGTCCTAACGGCCATCTTCCATGACCGCTGGATCGCTGGCGACATTCACTGCCAAATCAGTGGCTTCCTCATGGGGCTCAGCGTGATCGGCTCTATTTTCAACATCACAGGTATCGCCATCAACCGCTACTGCTATATCTGCCACAGCCTTAAGTACGACAAGCTGTTCTCCAACAAGAACACAGTATGCTACATGGTGCTGGTCTGGGCGCTCACCATCCTGGCAATCGTCCCCAATTGGTTTGTGGAGTCTCTGCAGTACGACCCACGCGTCTACTCGTGCACCTTCGCCCAATCAGTGAGCTCGCTTTACACCATTACGGTGGTGGTGGTACACTTCATTCTGCCCATCGGCATCGTCACCTACTGCTACCTGCGAATCTGGATCCTCGTCATACAGGTCCGCAGACGGGTCAAGCCCGACAGTCGGCCCAAGATCAAGCCTCATGACTTCCGGAACTTTCTCACCATGTTTGTGGTGTTTGTGCTGTTCGCTGTCTGCTGGGCTCCGTTGAACCTCATAGGTCTGGCGGTCGCGATCCACCCTAGACTAGGTCAAGATATACCAGAATGGCTCTTCACAGCCAGCTACTTCATGGCATACTTCAACAGCTGCCTAAATGGTGTTATATATGGAGTGCTAAACCACAACTTTCGAAAAGAGTATAAAAGGATTGTACTTGCTATTTTCAAGTTTAACTGTTGAGTTATGGACAATGAAAAAAAGCACTGTCATTCTTAAAATTCGTAAGTTATTGCATCTTTTGTCATATGAATATTTTTTTATTGTTTGAATTTTGTTATACCAAATATGAACATGTTTTGAGTCGCTCTATGTACATGCTTAAATTTGCACAGTTTGAACTTTGAACTATTTGTTTAACTATACTGTTTGAACTATCATCTACATAAGCTCTTATTTAAGTATTTAATTGGCATCTCAATGTAAAAGATGGTGCCACAAAACTAAGCAAAACCTCTGATAATGTTCATTTGAAATACTATTTTAATTAAAATATTGCTTGATTTAAAATCGATTTAGTGGAATATTCAAATGCCTAAAAATGAATATAGTTTGAATATAATACGTTTTTAAAGTCTGAAATGCTATCTTTAAACTTTTCAGTGATTTAATTTCAGCATTATCGTCCTGATCATGGTCTCATTTACATGTTAAATATTTGATTACATTGTAGAAAGATCTAACAAAACAATTAATGAATATTTGAAGTGCTAATGGATGATGTCAAACGAGTTATTATGCATGTTGAGAGAATTTTCCAGTTATGAACTTAAATGTACATATCATTTAATCTCAATTTAATTAACTTAATTATATCAATTTTATTAGGGTGAAGAGGATGTATGATATATGAGATTTTGATAGATTACATCTGTGAGCATATTGTTGCTGAAGGAATAGGGTTATGCTAAATGAAATTACTTGACTACAAAAGAATGTTTGATATATTCTAAATTATTCTACACAAATATATTAATACAAATTAACTGATAAAGTGATATCATAGTATTACAAAATTATATTATTGCCTGTTTTCTGACTGACACAAAGAAAATGGATTACAAAAAGTTGGGAAGTTATAGCAGTTTATCAGTTCACAATATATTCATAAACTTGAATGTTGGAAAAAAATGCAAATATATAAACAGTATATATATTTTTCATATATAGAGTTGCAATGGAAACCACTTCCATGAATCCTACAAATATTTGTTTTTTCTTGTTAAGGTGGTTGGATATCATAAGTGAAATGATGTGTTATTTGAAATCCCCACTCTGCACATTTTTCAAATATTTATTAAACAATCATATTTTTATATAGTATGTAGACATTCCTATGAATGCCATTGGAATCTGAGCTCTGCATTCATTCTCAGGACAACGTTTAATAGAAATACTTCCTAATAAAATATGTTCACTGTGCTTAACTGTACAACATAAAAAATATGTGGCCTTGGACCACAAAAGCAGTCTTTTTTGTACTTTTTTTTTTTCTTCTTCAAATTGAGATTTATACATTTTGCCGCAAATATACCCGTGTAACTTAAGACTGGTTTTGTGGTCGAGGGTCACATATAAGAAATATTCTCTACACTGTGTGCAGAGGAAGCAGTTTTTGACAAAGTAAAGAACCCTTTTCTGATACGTGGTTGATTTCATAGATGAATACCAGAGGAACATGCTTGGCAAAACATGCTGTTTTCAGCACCTCAAGAGTTGTATAAACAATACAAGTTAACACACCTTAGAAATGAACACTTTCCCAGGGCAGTTTTCTTCATAGTGCGCTGCCAGTCATCATTTACCATTCAAAGCAGGTTCGGGGGAAGTAAAGTATAGATCTCTGACAGGGAGCTTTGTGGGTCAGCGAGGACACATAGTATGTAGATGGTAGATTTATGCCTCAGGCTTTCAGAATAAAATAGGTAAATGTCACACAGATGCTGAAGCTCACAGAAAGCTCAAATCAGTTATTCTACACCATTGCTTAGGTTTGTCTCAAAAGATAGACTCTAGACTCAAATACATACTCATGCGATACACTCAGCAGCCAGATATTTCCATAATGTTCAACATCGACTATGGCAATACTAAATATCAGTGCACTCAAACTTGCACTACTCTGTCCAACTTTATATTATGTGTCTTTAACATAAATTATTCAATCATTTGGTGTAGTTGTATGTATTATTGTTACTTATTAAACTCGTTTGCTGCTGGTACGGGCCATGCAACTTTCTCAAGAGTCAAGACACGTTTCCCATTTTTTTGTAAAAAATTCATAAAATTCGTCTCTCTTGGCAGAAGCTAGCCAAATTACCCAGATGCCAGTGTGGATCGGTTGTATCATGGTCCTCACACACCATGAAGAAAAAATAGACAAGACAAATGAAAACACGACTCGGGCTATGTTAAATACAGCTTCACTTGCTGCAAGTGTAAACATGGTTTGTGCCAAACACAATATGTTTTATGTGGTGAATTACTAGCTGCCGAGTATGAAACCGTGAAATTGCAAAATAAACAATTTCTGTGTGGTTTCTACTTGATGTTCAATGTAAAAGCTGGGTCTTGAATCTAAATCAGTTGATAACATGACAACTTAAATAATACTCACTATTGCATCGAAGGATTTAACAGTACAAGCCCTCGTTTTTACTTTTAAACTCAGTGGAATGCATTTCCCATAGGCCTCCGAAGTTACCGCCTATTGTAATCGACAGCATGCCACAGACAATACCCACAGAGCTTGATTTCTATTGAACAAGAGACATTTCTGTGATGATTCTTGACACAAGTCACATATTACTTGACCTTCCACTGCTAGACACTGAGAGTTCTGTGTGTTGTCAAAGCAAGCGAAGAAAAGTAAAAACATTTGAAACCTAGAAATACATAATAGAACAGGCTCAAGTCTTAATCCACACTGTATTATTTCCTCATAAATAATTGACATCCTGGTACAATAGCAATTTCATTTTGATCTTTCAAAGAGCAAAACACTATTATTGCAATCTCCGTCAATTGCAATGAAAATGAACGAATAAACAAAGCTATAATTCACACAAATCCAAAATGTATGGTAATCATCTGCCTTTTATTACTGTGTGTAAATTCATATTTCCTCATAAAAAGCCTCATTGCCATACTGGTATACACTGTACGTCACAGGCAGGCACCAATCAGAATGGAGGAATGACTGCATTCATTGAATTCATCTAATAATTCAACAAATGCAATCCCCTGCCTGGCTTTATAAACCAGCAATCAAGCATTTATAAACACCTCTCCTGAAAGTGTTGCTCTTTCTAAAATGTTTAAAACTAATGCGACTGAAGCCACATTTGACATCAAGAAACAACTGCCAACAGTAACTCTGTAAAAAGATGGCTTGAGACAGGAAATATGTCAACATAATTTCATTGCCTTGGAGCATGAATACTTTCGGTTAGAAACCACGGTCCTACAACAACAGATGCAGAGAGAAAAGTCCCACCCGAAGAAGAGGCAGTACACTTAGAAACGTCAAGGCAGGCTATCCGTTCTTTAATTCAACCACAGAGCACATAACCAGCCAGCAGATTTAACTTAACTAGTGGACCATGACACTCTCATGTTGATAATCAACCTAAATGAACTAGTAATATGATGTCTGTCCTTTTTTTTGTATACTGTATATATATATATATATAATTTTTACATAATTTCACCAAGTTTAAACATTTTAAATATGTTCATTTTCAACAAGGTGAGCATGGTCAAAATACTTACAGTATATGTACAATAAGGCAAAAATGAAACCCAAATCCAAAACAAATACCAATGCAAACAGCTGGATATGAGTGCAACTAAGTGTACAGTAAATTATCAAAAAAACAACAACAACTTTGGCACTGCCGTTAACATATATAGAGCAGATTGATATGAAGCAAAACATCTGTAAAACAATTCAAGTACCTCAGTAAAAAGCATTTAACACAACCGTACTGGTGTTAAGTTTTAAAATTAAAGTTACTCAACATACTTGCAGTTAAAACCCTCCCATTGGTTTGTCTGAACTTTAAGTCATTTGGGTGCTAAACATCATGAGATCTAAAGCTTGTTTTAAAACTATTACATACTGCATAACTTGATTGAGATCAGGTCATATGTAAAATAGTTGGGGGAAAAAAAATCTAATTTTATATCAACAGATTGCTCTGCTAGATTAAACAGATGGAATCTTTTTTTTTTAATAAGACGGTTGATAAGGCTGAATGAGTAAACAGTACGTATGAACCATTAAATAAATAAAAAAATGAATGTGACAAAAAAAATACTTAATGAGAACCGGTTCATTTAAACACTGTAAACAACATCGATAAACAATACAGAGATTATTCGAATCACTTTCAGCTTTAAATTTGTCTATGTTTTACCCAAAAGATTTTAAAACAGACTTTAAAACCAATAACTTGGGAAAGTCGATACAATGAGACTTCAGTGCTGCAAAAACTGAAAGACAAAAGCACATCAAAAATCCATGAGCCATCTATGGACATTCAGTACGAAGAATCCCAAGAGGAATACAGCAGAAATCAAAGGAGCCTGTAGTGAGTAAATGATTCAGTGGGTCTGTACGACCTCATTTTAATCTGTCGCTCGGTCAACATTCACAGGAGCTGAAGGTGCGTGCTGTTGTGTCTGCTGCCGTTCCGTGCAACAATCTCCTGGATGGAGATGTACGTCCCCGCCACAAAGCCCACAAGGCCAATGAGGCTGATGCCGATGTCCTTGACCATCACCCAGAGCTTCATGTCTTCATTATGGAAGGTGATGATCTGAAGCAGGGGAGGAATGATGAGGGCCAGAGCGCTGCTACTCACGGAGCCCACCAGAGAGATGACGAGGTCAAGCTCCGGGATCAATATAGCGAGAACACCTAAAACGGCAAAATGAGCATCAAGTTAAACCGTGCCACCACATCCAGCTGAGAGAGAGAGAGAGAGAAATGTAAACAGCCAAAAGAGATAGTTCACCCAAAAGTGAAAATTCTGTCATCATTTACTCACCCTCATGCTGTTCCAAATCTATAAGACGTTTAGTCGTCTTTGGAACAGAAACAGAATTTTTTTTTTTGAGAGTGTCTCTATTTCTCTGTTTCTCTATTCAAAGTCTATTCACCCAAAACTCTGATGCATCAAAGCATTTATAAAGAGACTGTAAAAAGTAATCCATATGAATGGAGCAGTTTAATCCTGCTCTTCTGTAGTCTTCTGAATAGACAAGATCACAGTATAAGATGATATTTAATTTAGGCTTTTATTCACATATAAACATTGATCAGCAAACATAAACAGAAGCTCAACCGTACTGCTTGAGACACAAGAAGAAACCTCATTGGCTCTTGCTGAAGCTCAAACATAATGCGTAACACGAGAATGAACCTCATTGGTTCTTGAGGAAGCTCAAACGTGCTGCTTAACACAATAATGAACTTCATTGGTTCTTGCAGAAACTCAAATGTGCTGCGTAACACGAGAATGAACCTCATTGGCTCTTGCAGAAGCTCAAACGTGCTGCGTAACATGAGAATGAACCTCATTGGTTCTTGCTGAAGCTCAAACGTGCTGCGTAACACGAGAATGAACCTCATTGGTTCTTGCTGAAGCTCAAACGTGCTGCGTAACACGAGAATGAACCTCATTGGTTCTTGCTGAAGCTCAAACGTGCTGCGTAACATGAGAATGAACCTCATTGGCTCTTGCAGAAGCTCAAACGTGCTGCGTAACACGTGAATGAACCTCATTGGCTCTTGCTGAAGTTCAAACGTACTGCGTTACACAAGAATGAACCTCATTGGCTCTTGTTGAAGTTCAAACGTACTGTGTTACACAAGAATGAACCTCATTGGCTCTTGCTAAAGTTCAAACGTACTTGGCTCTCATGCATCAAGCAAACATGCTTCCTTGACCAAATCTCAATGCTATTTGTACATTTACTAATCAACATGTGCATAGAATCCTAAATGAAATCTGTTCATCATACAAAGTGATCATGTCTATGCAGAAGACTTGGATTAAACTGCTCGATTCATATGCATTTCTTTTACAATCTCTTTATGAACGCTTTGAAGCGTCAGATACACTTTCAATGGATGGACAGAAACCTCATCATCATTTGTATTCCAAAGAAAGTGTTATGGATTTGGAATGACATGAGGGAGAGTAATTGAGGACCAGATTTTCATTTTTGGGTGGACTAAACTGATGAGTGTGTTTCATGTTTGGGCGAGGACAGTGGCCATGCTGTGTGGTGCTTTGGGAATGAGTTGAGATCTTGGTCTGTTGCTAAGGAGATAGAAGTGGGCATGGAAAGGTTTGTTCTCAATCAAACGAACCACCTCTGATGTCGGTCCCTTCCCTCCAAATGTTCCTGTGTTTTTCACACTATGCACGGCAGGAATACACCACAGCTTTTAAATCAGTAATGAACACACACATTTGAGCGGAGGGCGCACTTCTTGTCACTTCTTATCATTTTGTAGGGATGGGAGGCTTCTCATTTCACACATAAGATTCTTTCAACCAGGGAATCCTGCAAAAATCAGCATTAAAAGGTTGTTCTTTTCAAAGGACGTCCCTTTGTTTGAGGGGTGTTGTGGCCAAAATTAAAGTCCAAATGGGTTGAGATGTAGGTCACTTTGAAGATTTGAGAAGCACACACCAAGCAGCTAAAAGAGACACAGGCGACAGATCTCCCTCTGGGACCGAGAGCAGAACAAGGCTTTAAAAGCTGCAAAGTAAATTCACATTAAGGACATGTGCTGGATCAATTGATGGACCTACTAAGCTCAGCTCTTTTATCAAACTATATTGCGGAGGCGTTCTCGGCCTGTTAATCAATCGTTCTGGACTATGATGATAGAGGACATGAATTTGCAGAAAGATTATTGTATGGGTCAATGACCTGATGCTATTTATTTCTTCACAAATACATTGAAAATTCAATTTATACGCGCATACAATGATCTGAATAAACATCTTCTATGATGATTTTTTTATTTCTTAATTATATTTTGAGGGAATAAAGTCAAACATTTCAGACTGATTTAACCGATTTCATAAAAGACAAAAGCATTCATTATATTGAAAGAACAAAACTGACATAGTTATAATTATCTTTTAAAAAAGGTGATATGCAAAATTTGACCATTTTTATAACAAGGTTGTAAAATGAACAACGTAAAAAACACTTTTCTAAAAAGCATGATTAAAATGTGTTCACTCACATGAATTCAAGGTGTAAGGAAACGGTTATAACTTTTTACTTGATGGTTACACCACCACATGACATTTTCAAACATATTAAATTGACAACTTTTCTTGAAGATGACATAAAAGTGTTTAAAAACCACATGAAACCATCATAAATAAAGGACATTTCCAAAAAAAAAAAAAAAATGTTTTTGAAGTGAATGTGATTTGTTTTTATCATGTTTTGTAATTTATTAAAGCCATTCTGCTTTATTAGTATGAAGGATATATATATATATATATATATATGAAGAGGTTTGAGATCCTCTTTAGTGAACACTCTTACATCATGTCCATTTTAGTTTGCTGATGTCACAGTGCCCTACATCTAACAATCAAATATCATTCAGTCAGGTAGATTTCACAGAGCCTAAAGACAACAACTGGAGCCACATCCTCACATCCCAGCTCACTGTTTTGTAATTCATGTCCTTTTCCAAATTTCAGAGAGAGAGATCGCGGCCAGCTCTGTATCGAGCTCTGCCATCTGGTTTCCCTACTCAGCCGGCCACATCCCCAGTCCTGTATCATTGGATCCACATCCTAAAAATCAAACCATCCAAAATACCACTGGAAGATGGTGTTTAATCAGAAAGGCCCATTCCTCTCAGCCATCAATTGGACGTCAGGCACATCCCAGGTCGAGCGAGTTTCCCTCATCCATTTCAGAACTCACCTCAGGCTCACCTGGACATGTCAATGAGACCACGACTGAAGTCAGCACATTTCTCCTCTTGGAAAGGGAAAGGGCTATGCTGTGTCAATTGAAGGGCTTCTTAATTAATGAGGTCTGCCACTTTATTGAAGCTATTTTTATAACAGCAATTCTTGCACAGCAAGCATTTGATTTGCACGCACAGCAAGTTTGACAACTGTGCTTTGACCAAATTGATTTATGTATGGAAGAGTATGAGCCCACTTTCAGACCTTCATAGAAACTCAAAATGTGTCAAGCGAAAAAGGTGTAGAGCAACAGAGGATCTAAGAGCTGTTGGCAATGGACACACCATTTCCCGTTAATCATATTTAACCCCAGAGCACAGTCTTATAGGCTCAGCAGCACAGTATGAAATTCATTATCAGATCCAGTGCATATCAAGCACATTTACTGGTGTAAAATGCTAGCCTGGGTTTCCCCATACTGCCTTTGCACAGCGCGATTTTATTCAAGCTGCTAGGCAGTCTCGATACCATGGATACCAAATTTTGGCCTCAGCGAGGGGACCAATCACAGAACAGGGAGGAAGCAGCAAGACAATGACGATGTCGCTACACACCGAAGCAGTTTGTTTATACCTATGGATCAAACATGGCATCAGACACGAAATTACAGGGTTCCTGCACACACAAGGCTTTTTAAGACATTTTTTTTAACGTTTTAATTAAAGGGTACTTTAAATATGAAAGTAAAACTATCAGGAGGTGGCAGTAAGTCAATGTCTTAATAAGTGAGTTGGAGTCATTCATTCAAACGATTAGTTCAAAAAGCTGATTCATTCGGGAAAGAAGCAAGTGATTCGTTCAAAACGCGGATTTCAGTCACGAAATCGTCGCTGTCTGCTGCATTGAGACTCTACTACGGTTTCATTTTTAAATTCTAGTCGGCGAAATAAAGGGAAAACAAACAATATTGCGTCTAAAAAGTAACTCACAATACATAAATATCACACTTTCAATTGATCCTTCGCTAAGCCACGCCCGAAAACCACCACTGGCCAATCGTGTCTTAGCGACCGCAACTAGACACGGGAGGTCTGGCAAGATTTCGAGAGAGGGAAACATACCGAAGCATTGTGCGTATGGATTGTGCAAATATGATACCCAGTATCCTAAGGCCCTGTGTACACCAAAGCGTTTTTCGACGTATGTTTTGGTGTATGTTTTCAATTGTTTTCAATGGGAGCGCCACATTTTTTAAACGCCATGAGCGCAACGAGGCTCTGAGGGTTTTATTCCTGCTGAAGCGCAGAGCGCCCGGCGTTTTTTTACTGGTCGCCGAGAGTTAAAAAAATGTTCAACTTTGGGTAAAACACAGCACTCATCACTGTCACTTTTTACCAATCCGTCCAATCACAGTGGAGGGGGGCGGGACTAATACCACATTGACCAACTGTCACAACATTATTTCTGTACAACGACGTCAACCAGCAGAGCTAACCGAACAACATGGATGAAAAATGTCAGTTTCCGGCGGATGGATTACCCCCCATGGGAGCAGCCAATATTATCAAACACTGATAGTTCCAGCATTGAATCCTATTCATTTTCAGTGTTTCCGAAGTACGCTCAACAATTTTGTATGAAATACATAGGCCTACACTTTATTGGCTGAATAACTGGCACGAAGATGACGCACAAGCTCAGTCTGCAGGTAGAGATGGAGGCGGCAAGAGAAAACATTGGAGCACGTTATGGCTCAGTCGACGCAAATGGAAGAAGGTCCTACACTGTCTTGACGTGCCATTATATCACAGAGGATTGGAAGCTGGCAAGCCGTTTTATGTCCACAGTGGAATTCGACTGCACATTGCCCAAAACAGCAATCAACATTCAAGAACAGATTAATGAGCAGCTGTGTTCTTACGGGATCTCATTCGATCAAGTGGTGCTCGTGAGTGACCAGGGT